TTTTGAATTCTCCTCTCCCCAACTAAGGGTGTTTGGACCTGAAAGCCTGCAAAGACATTTTTTTGCTACTATTTAGTTGGTCTAATAGAAGATATCACCTCCAGCCCAAGAGTTTTGTCTGCCTTGACTTTAGAAAGGCTTTTGGTACCATCTCCTGCAGCATTCCTACAAGCTGAGGAAGCATGAGTTGGATGAACGGACTGTGAGGTGGATAGAAAGCTGGTTGGATTGTTGGGCTCAACAGGTAGTAATCAATGGCTCAATGGCTAGCTGGCAGATGGTATCAAGTGGAATGCTTCAGGGGTCAGTCCTAGGGCCAGTTTTGTTCAGTATCTTCATTAACCATCTGGAAGATGGGATGGATTGCACCCTCAGCAAGTCTGCGGATGACACCAACCTGAAGGGTGTAGTAGGTACACTGGAGGGTAGGGCAGGATTCAGAGTGACCTAGACAAATTGGAGGACTGGACCAAAAGGAATCTCCTGAGGTTCAGCAAGGATACGTGCAAAGTCCTGCACTTAGGATAGAAGAATCCCATGCACTGCTAGACCCTGGGGACTGACTGGTTAAGCAGCAGCTCTGCAGGAAAGGACCTGGGGGCTACACTGGACAGTAAGGTGGATATGAGCCTGCAGTGTGCCCTTATTGCCAAGAACGCTAACAGCATACTGGGCTGCTTTAGGAGGAGTGTTACCAGCAGATCGAGGGAAGTAATTATTCGCTCTACTCTGCACTACGGAGGCCACATCTGAAGTAATGGGTCCAGTTTTGGGTTCCCCACAAGTTGGAAAGAGTCCAGTGGAGAGCCACGAAAGTGGTTCAGGGGCTGGGGCACATGACTTCTGAGGAGAGGCTGAAGGAACTGGGTTTCTTTAGTTTGGAGAAGAGAAGACTGAGAAGTGATCTGATAGCAGCCTTTAATTACCTGAAGGGTGGTTCTAACGAGGATGGAGCTAGACTTTTCTCAGTGGTGACAGATGACAGAACAAGGAGCAATAATCTCAAGTTGAAGTAAGGGAGGTTTATGTTGGATATTAGGAAAAACTCTCTCATTAGGAGGGTGATGAAGCACTGGAACATGTTACCTACAGAAGTGGTAGAATCTCCATCCTTGGAGGTTTTTAGGGCCCAGCTTGACAAAGCCCTGGCTGGAACGATCTACTTGGGGATGGTCCTTCTTTGAGCAGGGGGTTGGACTAGATGACCTCCTGAGGTCCTTTCCAACCCTAATTTTCTATGATTAGGGTTGGAACATTGAATACTTTGGGGGCAGGCATTATAGGGAAATTTAGAAGCGTTTTACATTCGTGCATGCCATAATACCTAGACAGTACAAGTACAATGGGAAGAGCAAGCCTTTAGTAGCCTTTCTTTGTTATTCTGATTTTACATTTAACCTTGTAGTTCTTAATGCTAGAAGAAGTGTTCTTTTTAAGACCCTGTTATCAATGAGATATTACACTACCTTAAAATTAGAGTGAACTCTGTTGTTATAGAAGATTCCCAGTGGTGTTAGCTCTGCTTTTGTTTCAAGATATAATCCATGAGAATCTCCTGTAGAATTCTTGTGGAACAAATACCATATTCCAGCATCCTGTAAATAAAGGGGAAAAATAATGTCACTTGAAACATGTTACGTCTTAGACCAACACATTTACATTGTCACAGATATATTTATATACAGTAACAAAATAATTGCATTTTAATAAATGTATCAGTTTCAATCAACAAAATAAAATATAAGAACATAGTCAATATCTTCGCATTTTTTCAGAATAAGTTTCAAAATGAGGTTCAGCTCAGGTACGGGGGGAAAAAAAAAGCTGCCTGCAGTGGAACTAAAAATGGGGGTGGGGGTGGGGAGGCCTTCTTATTGACTACAAAACTAACTGCACTGTTACTCTGAAAAAAAAGTGCAAGAGGTAAGAATTTCTTAGGGTGATACCTTTTGTTGGACCAACTGTATAGCTGGGATAGAGTTAGACAAGCTTTTGAACGCAAGGCATGTGTGGCATGTATGGAACTATTCTGAATAAAATAAGGTATTTTAACCACAATGGTTTACTAAGCTTGAACATCTCAAATCTGAAGTCAGCTGCTAAAGAAAGTGACATTTTGCATTTCCATTATGTCACATTTCTATGTACTCAGTTTTGCTTACCATAAAATATTTTTTTTTAAATCTCTCCCTCTCTCACACATTCTTGTTGTTATAGACCAACTTTAAAGACTGCATATCACAACAGAAAATCAAGAGTTAATGATAAGGCCATGAGAGCCACAAGGGCTTTCAAAAGAATGAAGTCTAGCCCGTTCAGAGCACTATGCCAATACCATGCACCAATTCATTTCAACTCATCTTCAATAGCTCCCCAATTTGCCCCCAAGCAACTGCTTTTAAATAGATGAATTTTGTGTGCTAGTAGAGGTCTACAAAAGCCCCTTCCCATGGCATCTCTATATACGATAGAACCATGGAGAGGACAGTTGAATAGGAGGTTTGGAACCTTCAGTGCAGCAGAGCAGATAACTCTATATCATCTCTAATATGCCAGTATTGTGCAACTATGAAATCTGTACTCTTACAAAGAAAAACCTTCATATATGGAATGCTAAAGGGCAGGGGATGTCTACAGTTTAAATAAAGGCCATAGCGCTGTTGCACAGTACGCTACAGTTAGCCAGAGAAAAGGAGAAGAATGGCTTTCATGAATTCAAAAAAAATCTCCAGTACATGAAGTTAGTGATATTCAAGAATTTCACCCTGAAGGAACAAATCAGTTTCCTAACAGCCTGAGAAATGCCATGAATTCTAAAAGGTGTCATCTTTCTTATCAAGGGGATCTATTGGAAGTTTTTCAGCCTGGTCAATTCCATCAGTAAATGTGGAAGTTTAACTAAGAATTATTTATACCAAAATGTTTATGTTGAACATTCCTGCTGAGCAAAAGTACTTTTAAAACAAAAACATTTGGTGCTCAAAAACCATGCTAAGCAAAGGAAATTCTAAGGCATGTGTACACATAAAGAAAGCATAAGCAGAGGGAAAAGGGTATTTTCAAAAGCCACAAATGGGCCAAAAGCATAACCATAGCAAAAGAAAAACATGTTAGGTCTGTTGTGCACTAGGAAAATCTTACTGGTACAGCTATATCAGTAGAGGGTTTTTACTGTTCTAGTTAAACTAGAAAAAGCCACAAAGTGGGGCATAGTTACACCAATATAGCTAATTTTGCTTACTGAACCTGAAATAAGGGGTCACCATAACAGCAATTTTATGACATCACATCCAAATTAAGGGAATCATTTTCCATTTTAATTATACAGATTTAGTTAGAAGTAGCCAAACTCTCTATGGCATACAAGCCCTGACTCCATTCATACATGCATTTGCAATAATTCAAGGAAGTGACATTCAGGAGAATTTACTGCAAATGCAAATCATGCAAATGGTGGGCACCAGACTTCTGCAGCTGTTTCCTGTAACTCAAGCTTCTGCACTGAAAACAGGTAGAGGAACTATGCAAAAGGTCAATACATGGGAAGGTGCACAGTGGAAAAAAAGAATAAGTGCTTTGGATTCGCTAAGTTTGTGCAGATCCTTCCAAAGCCCCAATCTTTTTGCGTAAAGTTCTACCTCCCACCCCCAAAAAGCACACGGAATAGAAAACAAAAACCAAAAAGGTTTCTTTTGTTACATTATAGATTGCCTGATATTTAAAATTACTTGTGCATTAATCCATGTTTTCTTTGTGCTATAACATATGGGAAGGCATTCACTTTGATTACTGAAGCTTTTCCCTTTCCCAACTTTGACTCTATTCTCCCCACAACAGTCTATTTAAAAATGCAACCTCATGGTATGTTTCAGCTTCTTATCCAATGCCCACACCAGAAACGGAAAAGTAGAACTGAATTCTGCTATTTGACATGTACCAAGCTTGCTCATGAATAGTTTCAGATAATTTAAAAGGAAGCTGCTTTTTGGTAACACGAGTCTGAGCTGAATTTGCTTATTCCCTATTTTCTGTACTCGATAACAAAGGCAACTCTACGTTCCAGGATGTGTCAGGGCATTTTACTTCTCAAATGCTGAGAAAAGACTAACCACAGAGCTAAGCCAGTAAAACATCTTAGCCATACAATGCTAAGTACAATAAGACTTTTTTTTTTATTTGACTGAATTAAATGACCAAATTAAATTTAGTACACTAGCCACACACAGTATGTTAACAAATACAAGCTACAGAAAACAGTGAAGCCTTAATGCTATGATGGATGAACTTACAGGACGCCTTGTTTGTAACTGACTTACTATACAGCGTCACCAATATAGACACTAATAATTCATAAAAAATAAAGAATTCTCTTTTGTTCTCTTTAAAACAAAGATGGTCAGTAACTTTTAAAGGCACATTTAATGAAGAGATGTTGCATGTACGCCACAGTGTTGCTAAATACAAAAAGGAAAGTGAGACATCTACATTAAAAAGGAAAAAAGAAAAAATACTTAAATGCATTCTAGGGTATACTTTGCTTATCTGAATAAGAACACTGTGCATCAAACTATGTTCATCTGTCTCACCTGTGAACCGGCTGCTGCATTATTTATAAGGTGATTGTTGGGATGAGCAATCCAGAAGGTTGAAACAGCCCTGAATATCATACAGAAATAATACATAGTTCAGAAGCTATAAATATCAAGTCTCTAATCTCTAAGCTCTTAGCTTTCATATATGAAATGTTAGTAAGTAGACACAGAAAAGCAAATCAGGCTAATTTTTCTTTTCAGGGAAACAAAGCTTTCTTCATGGTTTCTTATTTAAAAAAATCTCATGTTTTCTTTGTAAGTTAAAACATTTAATGTAGTGAAAATGTTTTTGTAATAACTGAAATGCTCTTTTTGATTTTTGCCAAAGAAATGTGATAGATACTATTTATTAGGGCTGAAATGACAGTTTCATATAGTTAGTGTGCCCTTGAACAATAATAAAAAGAAAGCCTGAGGTCTGCTGAATCAATTAATGCCAAAGTATTATGTTATTTCTTACACATGCTCCCGTCCTCATTAGCCTATTCATAACTGTGGATCACCAAGAAATTTTTAAAAAAGTTTAAGCACTGCAGGAATCCCCCCACCCCACAACTACTCACATGCAGTCTGTGGCTGGCACTGGGACATAATTTCCATACACTTTGTCCCTAATGGCAATGCACATACTGCTATTCCTGTCCGTGGGAAGAAGTGTGCCTGGTTTGGTTACTAGTCCAAGGTTGTGGAACAGAATATTTCTCTGTTCAATACCATCCTCCAGAAAGAAACAGTGGCCTAGTGTATCATAGCCAATGGTGTCCTTTATCTGCAGAAATACAAGTTCATTATGTCATTAGCAATAGTATTTACTGAGATTTATTTGACAAGAGCCATTTAGTTTTATCATCTTGGCGCAGCTGCAGAATGAATTTTCAGCATCCACAGTAAAAGCTAAGTCAAAAGTCAGGTTTTATTTGTTCCCAGAAATGCCCTATGATTATTAAAAAGGTTGCCTAACTGCAACAATTGAAAAGCTCAACAGAACAATAGGACTTGTCACTGCTTACACTTGTGCATTGACTTTAAACATTTAAAACTGAAAAAATGGAATAAGTGTTTCTGCACTGACGATCTGTTCTAATGATTCCCCCTCCCCCTGAAACAGAGATTGTTACTGAAGTACCTACCAATAAGCCATTAGTTGCATGAACAGTCACACATCTGGAAAAGCAGTGATGAATGGAGAGGCCTTCTAAATAAGTCTTGAAGGTATAACCTCCTTTTTCATCTACATCCCCACAGAGGTGAAAGTGGACAGGATACCTTCCAATCACTTGCTGGCCCATTTGTTTTACTTCCACATAAGAGAGATGAAGAGATGTGAAATTCTTCACAATCTAAAGAATATAAAGCAAGAAAATCCATTTAATCCAAATCATAAATGAATTGCACGATTTTTTTCGACTGCCACAAGCTTAACTGAACTCAGGGCGGGGGGTTCCGCTCAATATCCAGGTAATAATACTGGGTGGAATTAGATCTCCAAGACAGTGGTTACCTCCATAAATAAAATACACAGACAGCAGCAAGACCTCTGTTGCCAAAGCGAAGGAAGTGTCATCAAGTGTTTTATTGCTACGTCCTATCAGTAGGCTTTTAACAAGTCCTAAATGGGATTCTCATGAGTTACAACATTCTTTATATACATCCATGGAGCATTCAAGTATCTAAGATATTTCCTCCTCCATAGACCTATCTACATACAGTAGTTTTATTGATTTATCTAAACTAGTTTAGCAACACACGGACTTGAATCCCTGCAGCTCCTGTTTATTTATGAGTTTGAGTGTCAGCTGAATTTTCTATTACTAAACTTTCCAAACAATTCTTTGTGCCACAGATTTTTTTTTTAAAGTTCATTAATCAGTTCCCCTCAGCACCACAAATACAAAGCACAAAGGAACGAGAATCATTTTTTGTATCAAAATGGCTTTCACTGAGTGCAATCAAAAATGTCCAGCATTCAGGCTCAGATACAGTGAACTCTCCAAGGAGGTTACCATGCAATTCTGAAAAAAAAAAAATTCTTGTAACCTTCAGTATGAGAATGGGTTCTCCGACTTCATGAAGATATAGCCACATAATGCTGAAGGTAATTTGTACACTATGTTAAGGGACAGAAATTACACATAAACCAGTACAAGTGATCACAAACTCGTTCAAATCTGTGATACAACAGGAGTTCAGTGCACATAAACTGCTTTCAAAATGGCTGAAACTGGTTTAAAATAAACCTGGATGGATGTAGTATCAGATTTAGCTAGGTTAAATTGGATTACTGAATTTGTCCTAGATCCCCCTAGATTTACGTTAACTCTCAGTTTCCTAGCATCCCAAGATGCTTTGCACCTCCTTGCAAACCCCACCCCCTCACAGGGTGAGTGGGCTAGCCTTAGCCCAAGCTATCTGCTCCAGCCAAGCAGAGAGGTGTGCTCTAGCACCCCTGGCTTTTGGCCTGGGCCACTGCAGGCATGTGGCTGCATTTCCAGAATCAAAAGTGAATGTCTGTTCAATTGCTTAATCAGTTCAATCAGCACAGCTTACACTAACCTGCGAAGATTGAAACACTTTAGCCTTTTTGACTGTCTGTACTTAGTAATTAAAGCTGCCTAACTAGCTAATTTGCAGCTCACTATTATGCAGTGTTGCTAAGTTTATGGGGTTGAACACAACCACTAGGCAACTGCAAGTATTTCCTTTCATTTGGTTGAGAGAGCAAACTAACTGTAAGAGATACCTTACAATTATGGGAGTTTAAGGATGCAAATCATAAGACAAAGAAACTTCTCATTATGATATTAACTTACCTACTTTTGAGTGTATACAGATTAGGCTGCTACATATAAATATCTTAACACAGTTTCATTTGGGCAAGTTAATCTGCACTGATTGACCACTTTGATTTTTTTAAAGGTACTCAATTTGTATTTATATACGTACAGCCAGTGTAATGCTGAGAGTTGGTAAAAAGTAGTCTTCTGATTTACAGAAGCTGAAGATCTGTACTAATGCAGCACTAAAACTACAAATTAGCGGACTTACCCCCATATATAATGCAACCCTTTATACTGCTCTTGGTAAAGGGGTGTTATCAGACAAGTTCCTACAGAGCCTAGACATTAACAAGTTTTAGTGTTGACTACTTGAACATAGAAGATTAGCAGAAGCTGAAAACGGTTTGTTAGGCTTAACAAAACATATGCTAGGTTAGGTTTAGCAACAATTGCTCAGTTATTCAGAAGACTCATAGGAACAATTCAAGTGACCATGATATCTTGGAACAGAAAACAAATGTTCTATCTTTCATACATCTGACTGACTGACTCTATTTGAGATACTGCAGCAGTTCAAGGACAGGTTCTGTAAAGCTCACAGCTTGTCAATAATCTTCCTCCACGGTATTATCACAAACACAAAAGAATAGTTAAAACCCCCTATAGATCCCTCCTGCAGAACAAAAGCTATAGCACAAGAGAGAAATAAATCATTCTTTCCCTCTTAGTTCCACCACTATAGAACTAAAAATCAATCACTAATACTTTAAAAAGGGAGGTCAAAACTGTGAGCAAAAGAAACAATGGCATTTGCATTTAAAGGGTAATGCTTCAAAAACTTCAGTATCAACTGGGCCCCAAATAATATCTCACCGCTCTTTGCACTTGCACTCCAGTACAAACAGTAAGTTTCAGCTATTCACAGCTACTGCTCCCCGTCTAATTAAGCCTTCTTATAATTTATAGCAAATAATTAGCAAAAACCATGCAAATTATTAAAACTATTTTTAAAAATCAATAGCAGTCCCTTCAGAACTGTAGTATACAGAGAATCCTTTGATAGCCATTTTTTATTTTCTGTAAATTAATAAAATCACCACTGATTTTAGGCTCCTTAACATGAGACACCTAAGAGGGGCCCAATTCTCAAAATATCTACATAAGGCAGGGCTGTCCAATTAGCAGGCTGCAGGGTTTTTTTTTGGGGGGGGGGAGGAATAACATGCAGCCCCCAATCACCTATCTGGCTGCCACTGCCCCTCCTGCTCCACCTGCAGCAACAGCCAGGGTCTAGGGACTGCTGCAGCCTGCAATACCAA